TTATTGCTACACTGAACCCTGAGTGACTCATCTCCTCCCCACTACCCCTCTGCAAGGGATGTCCAGTTGTCTACAGATGGGCATTGGGTCCCCATCATGCGCTCCCCTCATTCACAATGATAAGATTTTTTTTTTTTGTATTGGGTTCCTCGGTGCAAGGTCAGCAGTTCAAAACTTCAGTATTCTTAAACCTTCTTACTGGAACTGCCTTCCCCAAAGTAGTAAGTTATACCATCATACCAACATTCACCTTTTAGTCTGTGTCCTTTTTCTTAAGGTATTTAGTAATACTTTCAGTGACTGTCTATAAATAGAAAGTCCTACAATGTTTTTAGCTATCTTCATTTCACTCTTACTCCAAGTAGTTTAGCTGTCTAAAGGGCCCTGCTGGTGCAGTGGATTAGGCATTGGGCTGCTTAACCATAAGGTCAGCAATTCAAATCCGGTAGCTGCTCTGAAAGAAAGATGAGGCTGTCTCTCGTTAAGACTTACAGTGTCAGAAACTATATAGAGTCTCCGTGGTTCAGAATCTACTCAATGGCAGTGAGTTAACTTTTTGGTAGAGATTTTTGGGTTCAGAATTATTTTCAGTTAGCACTCTGAAGATATTGTCTTGTGTCCTTTAGGTTTTGGTAACTTACAGACTTTTTTTCCCTTTGTTTGAGGCTGCCTTTATTTCTTTTGCAAACATTTTACTGAATATTAATAATGTGAGCTTTTAATTTCAAGGAAAACAAATAATAATAGTTTTGTCAATGATAAAATACAAGCTTTCAAGTTGAATTGTAGTTTAAAAGTTACTGAAATTTATTTAAAATTTTTTATTGTGATTTAGGTAAAAGTTTACAGAACAAATCATAAGTTTTACATTCAACAATTTATGTACATTTTGTATAAACTCTCCATTTTATTTTCTTTAGTGTATAACCACTTATCCGTTTTTTCCCAGTGTTTTCTATTTCCATTCCTCCTTTTTACCTAATTCTCTCTCCTTGGGTAAATGCTGCCCTTCGGTCTTAAATGTTTGCTTTTCCTATCACAAGTGTAAGTTCAGTAGCAAACCTGAATGGTGACTTTGTTTGTGGATTCCACTGATCTTTATTTGACCAATAAGTCTGGTCTTTTTTTGGATACTGGGTTCAATTTCATCTTTTTCTCCCATTCTATCCAGGACCTTTAATGTGATTCTTTTTAGAGTAGTTGGTAATAGTCATGCATCATCTAGTTCTTCTGATCTGAAGTCGTAGATACTGATGTTTGTAAGTCCATTATCCATTGGACTAGTTATTTCCATATATCATTTGGTTTTCAGTATTATTCTTAACTCTGGAAAAGGAGACACCAGCAATTGTATCTTAGATGGCTGTTCACAAAATTTTAAAACCCCAGTCACCAAAACAGGATGTATAATATTGTCTTCGTAAACTGTATTGGGCCAGTTGACCTTGGTGAAACTTTCATCCTGATCTTCCAAGCTCTGTGATTCACTCCCTCAAGGTGTTTAATTATGTCTAAGAGGTTTCCTTAACTTTTCTTCCTGTATGTTCCATCACATCCATGGCTTATTTGTACCAAGGTAAGTACATAAATCTTTTTACAAGCCTATATTTATTTCTATTTAATATACATTAATGTATATATTATATTTAATAATACATAATATATATTATATGTATATATATATATATTCCTGGATATACTACCACACAACCTCCCATGTTTGCTAAGCCTGTATCTCCATCCAAGGATCTCCTCATAGATCACACCTCCGTGGCAGGATTTTATATGTAACACTATTTGCCTCTGTTGTCAGGCTGCTTTTAAGATTCTCTCTTTGTCTTTGTAGTTCTGAAGTCAAAGTACAATAAGTCTGGATTTACACATTTTTTTATCTTGCTCTTTGTTTTTTTGGTCTAAAGAATCATTTACAATTTTTAGAAAATTGTTTCTGCCGTTGTTCTTTGGACTAGATCATCTCCTTCTTTTTCTAGTTTCTTTTTCCTGGACCCTCCTTTAGTCCTGAAACCAATTAAACTACATTTTGCTTTGTTAACTTAGTATCCTTTCTGTCATTGTTATGAATCTGTGCTTTATGAGTATTCAGAATGTTTGGAAGAAGTAGAATTCCCCACATGTGTTCTGTGAGACTCAACCATGTCAGTCTAGTCTCTTTAGTTGAAATGTCCTTTTTTCTTTTCTTGACTTCTCAAAATCCTATCTATTCTTCAAGGCTCAGTCTTTAATTTTTTATCTTCTGTAAAGTCTTCTGTGGAACATTTGGAGCATATGGTGCTTTATCCATACTTGGAACTTGTTATACTTGTTCCATTTAAAATTTATTTTCATCTTTTTTGTAACATGTATTTGTGTCTATCTTATTTTCCAACTAGACTATAAAACCCATTTAAACTAATGTCACTTACTTGCACTTGGTTTTATACTCTACAGACTTATCTTAATGTCTATATTGAAGGCACTGAAGGAACAAGTTGATTATTCATAAATTATTTTCAGTAACTTTTGCTTTTAGGAAGACTGACAAAACTTCATGATATATGATTTCTTTAGATATGACTGATGGATATTATCTTGAAAGTACACTAATGATTCAGGAGCAGGCCATTCAAATTTGGTTGAAATATATTTTCTAGTTTTACATCTAAAAAGCAGTAAATGGAAATAGAGATTGGTAGAAATTTCATTTTGAGATGGTCTAGTCAGGAGTATTTTGCTAATAAAAGTGTGTGTGTGTGTTTAAGTTGCATATATTTTGTGAACTATTCAAAGAAATACTACTTTAAGTTTTTGTAAAATGAAAATAATATGTTTGTGCTTTCAAAATTTTTCATTTTGAAATTGCTTGAAGTAGAGGCCACATGTAATTGTGATACACATGCTTATAAAGCATGCGGTCTGTATCATAGTATGTTAAGACTATTTGGTAGTAAATCACAAAATTTTATGGCAGTTAACTAAAGATTTTGTGTATTAGTTAAACATAGGATTGGTCCTTAAGATATATTAATGCTCATTAAATCTCCTACTGTTTTTCTGGTTTAATATATTAAAATAATTAATTATTTTATTTGAAACAGGTTGAATCGAGGGATTCTTTGAACAGTATAGCCTTGAAATTTGATACAACACCCAATGAACTTGTTCAGCTAAATAAATTATTCTCCCGAGCAGTTGTTACAGGACAGGTAATGTTCTTTTTTGAAATTTATTATTATTGTATTGGCATTTAGACATTTTTAGTAGCAAGACAAAGTATCTATTATGGTATTAGCAATATAAAATATTAGCACATCATTTTATGCATGCTTTGAACAAATTATATTGGCTTTATAATTAGAAAATTATATAATTTGTATTCATATGCATTTCTAATGCACACTAAAACAATTTTGAATTGTGTTTTTAAAGTATTTTAACTAGCTTTTAAAACAAAGTAGTATGTGCCACGAACCCCTTCAATTAAGCCATTTCATAAATCATGTGAGTTTATATATTTTTCAAATTAATCTTTCATTTACAAATTGCTTGAAGAGGCCTATATATAATTATGATACAACATGCTAAAGCATGATAGGTTGATACTTTATCTTTCCACTTCATACCATCTAGTTTTTTTTTAACCAGAAGCAAATGCAATTATCAGTTCACATCTCGTTCCATAAATATTCAGCAAAATTTTTTTTTTCAATTTAAGTTCTTGAAAAATGCTCTATTAAAGCACAGCTCTATCTCCATCTATTTTATATGTGGGTAGTGTATTCAGTGATGAATCATAGGTAACTAGTCACACAATGAGTTGTCTACTATTTTTTTATTATTGTAAACATTGTTGTAACGAATATATATGTAGACATCTATCATATATACGTGAGTATAAGCCAACCCAGAATTTTCAAAATTTTATTTTGAAAATTTTAGTTGGAAAATTTTGGGTTGCCTTGTACTTGAGTATATGTATATATCTTTCTCTATGTATACAATATTTCCATGTATACAAGATTTCTTTAGATCATACTTCTAGTACAACAATTGTGGGGACAAAGATTATATGCATAATTATTTTATAGCTAATGCCAAATTGTCCTTTAAGAAGAAATCCAATAATATATGAAAATTACTTTTGCCCACCTTATCACAACAGCATATATTTTCAAATTTGTCTAAGCTAATCTTATATTTCTTTATAATTTGTTTCATTTTTTTGTTACATTTATAAGTCTTTTAATCATCATAACGTTTACTTATAAGATACTGCCTGATTATTAACATTTTGGTTTTATTGAATCGTTTTGTGAATATTTTCTTATAGGTTTTATATGTTCCTGATCCTGAATATGTCTCCAGTGTTGAGAGCTCTCCATCACTAAGCCCCATAAGTCCTTTGTCACCAACATCATCAGAGGCTGAATTTGATAAGACCACTGTAAGTGCCAAGATGGTTAAGAATATATTTAACTGTATATATGCAAATCTTTTAAAAATCTTACTTTGAATACATTTCTAAAGAAATTTTGCCTATTTCATTACTTGTAAATCCCAATTAAAAAATGAAACATTCTTATTGGATCACACAACCCAAATAGACTTAATGATTTTGTTGATGATGGTCCAAATGATATTCTTAAACTGTGTCTTAAAAATATGATATGATAATTTCATTTTGGTAACTCCATATAATGAGAATTTATATAATAAGAATAATATCACAATAGTAATTCTATGTCTGATTTGAAATATTTATAAGAATACACTTTGTTCTTTGACAAACTGTGTAATATAAACTATTTATTATACTTTAGTCATTCAAATATTACTATAGTGAATTCTCAGTTTTTAAGAAATGAGTATTCTATATATTTATGTTTTACCAATTAATTTTAACGAACTAGTTTATTTAACCATTTTAATTAAAATGTTTCTGAAAGGAACTATATACTTATATTTCTCCTCTGGAGACCTGGCATCACATAGGTTAAGCAAAAGGATGGCATTCCAAACCTACCAGCATTGTAATGTGTTTTTATGGACTTTCTCTTCCCTAGTTAGAGCCCTGGTAGTGTACATTGGGCTGGTAACCACATGACCAGCAGTTTGACTGCACCAGCTGCTCTGAGAAAAATGAGGTGTTCTGTTCTTATAAAAATGTACAGCCTTGTAAACCCATAGGGGTAGGTAGTTCAACTTTGTCCTATAGGGTTATTATGAGTCTGAATACAGTAGTATGCCTTCCCTGGTGGCTACAGCAAAATTATATAAAAACTTTGGGAAGCTTCAAGTTTCAGAACTAATGTATTAATGATAAATCTATAAATACCAATCAAAGCCACCACAAAAAGATGCTACTGGTGTTTTGGGTATTGTATATTTTGTAATTTATAACTAGTACTAGTAATTACCAATTTATTTTTCTGAACAAATTTGGACTTCCTTAAATAAAATGTGTTTGTGTTATATTTTGAGTATCTGCCAAATTAATCTCTTATATTCTTTTTAACACAATAATAATCTGATTAATTCTTTTATATCAGCAAGTAAAAGGATTAGTGTAGCTCCTAAGTTACAGAATTTGAGACTTTGAGGAAACCTCACGGGTGAATCTTCCTGTAAAGGGCACATTTAGCAATACACACAGCTATATTTTGTGACTACTACAGGAATGCAATAAAAGTAATGTTAATTGAATCTGGAGTAATTTACTAGTCATAAATAGTTTGTTGCTACCTTTGGAGTTTTACAACATGAGTTAGTGAATGGTTCTGAAAGTTTTACTCCGTCCATGTCATTAGGGTCAACTGTTTTATCTCAGTCATATTTTGAGTGCCCTCCACTTGGAAAGCTCATCTTCAAGCACTATCCTGGACAATATTTTGTTTTAATACATAGGGTTTTCATTGACTTCTATTTGTTTCTTTATTTTGAAGTAAATTGCCATCCCTTTCTTCCAAGTCTGCCTTAACCTGGACATTCTGCTGAAATTTGTCCCCCATGGCGAACCCTGCTGATATCTATTATCAGCTGCTAGCATCATTAATAGACACACAAGTCAGCACAGTACAGCGAGCAGATAGGTCATTGTTGGTAGATGAGGACATGATAAACCTTCTGGATAGACTAACTGCGAAAGTATTCAGGATGAGTGTTTGTATTTTGTGTCATTAATGGGAGTGATGAAAACTTTATTAGTAGAAATTAATGATTGAAATATAATTGTTAAAAATCTAATTCTATTTTATTTAAAAAATAGAATAGTAATATATTCAATTGCTTTTTTTAAATTATCTGCATTTGTTTTCCCTTCCTCAACAAACGTGTTAAAACTACCACTGATCTCTAGGGATTTCGTTCTATGTTTTCGTAAGAACATGTGATTTATAAAGTACTTTAATAAATTATAACCAAATATAGATCCACTTATTAGAAGAGAAAAAAATGTTAAGATTTGTAGTTCTTTTTAAGAGTATTAGATTAAAGAGGAGGCAAGCTTGTCTTTTATAATTTTAATAAGCCGAATCAGATATTTAGTTGAAATTGCAGAGCGGCAGATTTTGCCACAAATCTCAGAAGAATCTTACTACAATGAAAACTGTTGTACGAGATAATGTAACATGTACTCATAAAAAATGAGCATATCTGTGGAGTTACTTAAAAGATGATAGGCGTTAGATGGTCTTGAAATTGTTAAAAATATAAATATCCTTATTTTTCACTAACTTTTTAGTGAAATCTAACATTTCTTTTAATTATGAATATGTAACCAGCACACTAGATTAGTAGTACCAGATATGGCTGTGATGGCACCACTAGAACCCTGATATCTTCATATCACTTTAAAGTTGCTGTTTGTATCACAAAATTGTATGACCATCATTACTTCAAAGTTATAATTCACTAGGTTATTACTAGGTTTTGTTATTTAATGTGTTAGTAAATAATGTGTGCTTTTAAATATTTTGATAATTTCTTTTTAGTATAATCGGGGCTTTCAAAGAGTTCGTGGAAAATGCATAGTATAAAAAAGCTACATGGATTTCAAAACTTTTTGCATCAAAGAAATGTGCGCTAACTTTTATAACATGTCTGAAAGGGATCTAGTTTGGAGCACAAAGAAGACATCATAGCAACATGAATTCTGCTAAAATTGAAGCAAGAACAAGTAGCCTATGTCTAGTGAAGCCAATGGTGAAATCAATATACCTTACAAAAAGTTTATAGGGCCAGTGTCCTAAAGAAACCAGCAACTTACAAATGGGTAATTCATTTTAAGAAGGGATGAGAAAATGTTGAAGATGAAGCGAGAAAAAGTTAATCTTGTTTATGCCATAGTTGAAAAAGACAACCCCAGAAACAATAACCATCTTAATCATTCCAGCTTATTTATAAAATTTTGTTTGAAAAATTAAAGTCCCCCCCGCAAGCCCTCAGAGACTACATAAAGGGCTGCTCCCCCAAAAAAGAAAAAAAGAAAAATTAAAGTTAACTTTCTACTTGATGGGTACCCAAACTATTGCACCTAGATGCAGGCGAGGTTAGAGCTTTCAATGGATATTTTAAGGAGTGGGATTGAAATCATGAAGCATTTCTTGAGAGAACTATAGCAGGAGATGAAACTTTACCAGGATGAGTCTGAAGATGATGCCCAACCAAAACTCTGCCTCACAAAAAAAGTGGAAGTGATCCAATCAAGGCAGATGCGGGTCAGAAGCAAAAAGGTCATAACAATTTGGGGGGATGCTCAAGGAAAGAATTTTGCCTGTTGACTTTCTGCTTATTATGAGAGTATTTTGATAAAGATAGCCAAAACTTTAGCAAAAAAAAGAAACTTCATCAGAGAATCCTTTTCCATGATAACAATGTTCCTGTCATTCCTCTGATCAAAAAAGGGCGATTTTGCAAGAGTTACATTGGGCATCCACTTTAAGTCCTGATTTGGCTCCTTCTGATTTATTTTGGTTTCCTAATCTTAAAAATAACTTCCAAGGGCACCCATTTTTCTTCATTTAATAAACTAAAAAAGATTACATTGACATGGTTACATTCTGTGGATCATTCATCCCTCAGGGATGAGATAAATGGCTGGTGTCATTGCTTACAAAAGTTTCTTGCCCTTGCAGGAGCTTATATTGGTAAACATAGTTTATATTTTTAATTTTACTCTTTTAATTCCATATTTCCAGGAGCTTTTGCCAGTTTCTTCATAGATTTTCCTTGTAAATCCTATATTTTGTATTATACATTCAAAACCATTCTGAGTAGAAGGAGATTCATATGCTTTAGTAGGACAATGGTTTATGATCAGAAATGCCAAGAAGTTTTTATCTAGGTAATTCTTGGTGGAATGGTATTGAAGAGTGTTTGTGGCTGTGTTAGTCCGGGTTGACTAAAGAAACAAATCCAGAGACATTCAATGTATGTGTAACAGAGCCTTATATTAAAGAACAATTGTCTATTGAGAAAACATCCCAGCCCAGTCCAAATCAAGTCCTTACGTCCAATATTAGCCCATATGTCCAACGCCAGTCCATAAATTCCTCTTAGACTCATACAGTACATGCAATGATACTGAATGCAGGAAGGTCACAGGCTGGTGGGGGAAAAGTCTATGGATCCAGTTGTGATAGAAGCATCTTTAGGCACTAGCTGCCATCAGTGTGGCTCCATGTGGCTTGTCAACAGGAAAGTGAAGGAGAAAGAGTGTGGCCCACCTCCAGGGAGAAAGAGAGGAAGTTTCCAGAATCTTCATGAGACTGCCACGTCCACAAGGAGGCACCATCAAGCTGTGACCTGATAGGCTAGACTCCACCCACCTCTTCCTTCTTAACATCCTCAAGTTGACAGGAAATTATGTAACTACCACAGTGGCTTTAGGTTTTAAATGGCTCTTCAAATGAGTAGATTTTACTGCACAGTACTTCAGATACCGCTTTCTTTTCTTTGCTCCCATTGCCTGAGGGATATTGTAATCTTACAGGCCCCAAGATTCAGTTCAGGAGCCTAGAGTATGTGCGTGTGGAAGACTGGAGGAGAGCGACATGTTTTCGTATGTGTGGGAATGGAGGTAAAGGGGTGGATGATTCCCAGCTTTTCATAAGATATGTACATATCTATTAAAAAATCACTCAACATATAAGTTAAAGCCATCTTTGAAAATGCTACTGAACATGAAAACAGTGTCGTTCTTTCTTATAATTCTTCCTGAAAGAAAGGAAATATTTCCCCCCAACTGTGCCTCTTAGTATTTACTCTTGCCTGCACGTCAGAAGGTGATGAAAAGGAACAGCACAATGAATATGGGGACTGCTGTTCTTTTGGTCTTACTAATAGGTGTATTTTTATTTCGTTTTCTGAAATGCCTCTTTTTTCTTTTCTTTTAGAGTCCTGATATAGTTCACCAGAAGGAAGCAACTTCCTCATCTACTTTTGCAGGTATACGGCCTGCACGAGTTGTGTCTTCAACTTCTGAGGAGGAAGAAGCATTTACTGAGAAATTTCTTAAAATTAATTGCAAATACATTACCAGTGGCAAGGTAATGAATGGTTCCTTAGAGAAAATGTTCATTAAAGTTTTATTTCTAAAATATGGCAGTTTCACATACACATTCTAAGTTACCAGAATCGGTAAATGTTTGACTATTGAAAAAAGATGTCCGCTAGGAGTAGTGTGGAGCTTGTGTGCTGTTAAAATTGCTAAAGGCAATGGGATGCATTACATAAAGTTCCAGTATAAAGAAATAAAAAATCCTGACAACTGGAAAATAGAGCACTTTATGATTAAAAAAGAAAAGATTAAAATTCAAGGATTTCATTGTACTTGGATCCAGAATCAACACTCATGGAAGGAGCAGTCAACAAATCAAATCAAACGATGCATTGTATTGAGCAAGTCTGCTGTCCAAGACCTCTTTAAAGAGTTAAAGAGCAAAGATGTCATTTTGAGGCTAAGACATGCATGATCCAATTCATGATATTTATAATAATTTCATATATTTCTGAAAGCTGGATAGTGAATAAGGAAGACTATAAAATTAATACATTTGAATATGAGGTTGGTGAAAAATTGAAAGTACTATGGACTTCCAGAATTAACAAATAAATGTGTTTTGGAGAAAGTACAGCCAGCATGTTCTGGTTACTGGAGAATGGCAAGACTTGAGCTTGTATACTTTGAATATGTTATCAGGAGAGCCCAGTACCTGGAGAAAAGATAGAACATCACTTAAAAAGAGGAAGACCCTCAATGAGATGGATTGACAGAATGGTTGCTACAATGCACTCAAACAGAACAATTGTGAGCATGCTCAGGCAGTGATTTGTTATACTGTACATAAGGTTGCTATTCATCGGAACTAACTTGATAGCACCTAAAAAGTTGGAGTAGTATTTAGTTAATTTGCTATTAGTAGAATGTATCAAAATCACATACCAAGAAAAACCCTACTTAGCACTTTTGGGAGTGCTAGGCCTGGCAAGGTGATGAGAATTAAACAGATAAGTAATATGTGAAAGTACCTACTATAGCCCAGGAGCTATGGGAAGTTTTGTCAACTCAGAATAACCCTGTTAGATATGTTGCTGTAATCTTTCTCCACAGGACCAAAAAGACATTCAGATACGGTTTCTAGGTCCAAAATTTCTCTATCATGGCTAGAATTTAAGCCTAGTTTGAATTCACTGTTTACCACACCTTGCTGCTTGCTCAGGCAATACCTTGTCTGCAAAAAGAATACAATAAAGTATCGGTGCTAGAAAAAATAAAGGACCACAAAGCAAGTACTGCTTTAAAGTGGCTACTGTATAATATATTGACTTTGGAAGTCACATGATAACCATTAGTTTGTAGTCATAGTTCACTGTAATGCATTTAATGCACTAAATTTCCCTTAAGTACAGCTTTAGCTATAATGCATAGATATGGATATGCTCTGCTTTCATTTTTTTTTTTCCATTATAAATAAAATCTAATTCAAAAGGCTTTTGTTTTCAAATATTTGTGGATTTTCTAAATCTCTATTTGTAATTCCACATGGTTAAAGAACATGCTTACCATTATTGGAATGCTTAATATTTTGTCATGTATTTCATAGTCCAAAGTACAGTGTTTCTTGATAAATGGTCCATGTCCTTGAGAATAAAGTGTATTCTGCTAATGTTGGTTGGGCTGTTCTATAAATGTCAACTAAGTATAGTTATATGATAGTTGTTCTTTATCCCTCCTGATTTTCTGTCAGTATTTTTATTAACTTTAGAGAGACTATTAAGATAGCCCACTACCCTACCATTCATTTTGTTATTTCTACTTTCTGTTTTATAAAATTTTCCTTCATGTATTTATAACTATTATTTGGTTCAAAACTCATTTAGGATTATCATACCCTCTTAATTGATTTGCCATTATGAAAGAACCCTCTTTATTCCTGATAATAATCTTTGCCCTGAAATCTAACAGTTACTAACATTTTTTCTAACTCAGAGTTGCTATTAGTTGTAATTGATGCTAGGCAACTGGGCTCTTTTGGGAGGTGGTGTAGCATAGCTGTCATTGCTTCCATTCTTTTACTTTTTTCCATCAGCCTCTACATGGAAAGTGCTTTTTCCTGTAGGCAATGTGCACTTGGATCTTGCTTTATTTAATCTCTGCTTTTTAATGTGATTATTAATATGGCTACAACTATCACCTTGCTATTTTCTAGTCTGTCTATTCTATTTATAATTGTTTCATCTTATGCCCTTTGTTGCCTTCCTAGAATTTATACCTTGTTACTGTAATGATTGCTTTAGTATATATATAGATATATACACTAAACTACTATGTATATGTGTATATATGTATATATACATACTGTTTATCTCCAATATATCACAGCATCACCTTAAATATTATACTACTCAACATTTCACCCACCTTTTTACATTATTGATTGGTGTTATACCTTTTACTATTACAAATGTATTATCTCCAAAATACATTTAATTTGGCTGTAAATTTTTCCTTTTGTAAAATCGTGGTAAATATATTGGTAACAAAATATTGTATTTAAGTAAACTTTATATCTGACATTGTATTTACCAGGTTAGAATAAGGAGTTATGAATACTAAAGTTGAATCTTTATTAAAAGTTTATGAAGGTGGTATAGATAAAGGAAATACTTTAATTTCTCAAGAGATTTTTATAGGAAAATATATTTTATGTAGATGTAATATTTCTCCAGGTCATTTTTTTTTTTTGAGAATGACATCTGAAAAAATGTCCCCACAAAGACATCTTTATATAGAAACCTTGTTTATCCAGAGGGAAATGCGGCTTGAAGGAAGGGTACAGAAGCACATCCTTTCATTAACAGAGATGGAAATTGACCTTACTTGCTTTCTCTCTGATAGCAATCCATTTTCGTCCAAGGAATAGAAGGACAATATTTAGAGCCTTTTGAATAACATATCATTACATTACTATAAGTAAAGCGCTAACAGTATGTATGAGAAATCAAAAGCATTATATTTGTACCTATGTCCTTTTTGATCATACCCCCAAACCACTGCTGTTGAGTCAGTTATGTCTCTTAGCAACTGTATAGGCTGAGTAGAACTGCTTCAAGTAGAATTGTTTCCAGGCTATCAGTCTTTATGGAAACAGACATTCATCTTTGTGCCGGAGTGGCTGTTGTATTTGAACCATTGACCTTTTGGTTCACAGACTAACTTTTAGCTTTTCTTGCTGCCATTTATAACTAGTAATCGGTAGTCTTTTTCAAAATCTTACAAAATGAAATACCAGTGAGTATTACTATAGTAGTTAACTAAAGATGACATACTTATTTGAAAATACTGCTCAGATGAAAATTAGAAGACCAAGAATGACATTAAATTTCTCAGAACTTTCCTTGGACCTAACTGATTATTTGGCTTTATTCTCAAGTGCCTTGGATTTCCAAAAAAGTAGAGGATTAGAAAGTATAAAATTGGAAACTTTCAAGGTTTTCTGTATTTTATATAGCCTATTCTCTATCATCTTTCTCTTAGATTATTCCTAACAATGCTCCTCACATTACACTTGGCTGTCTCTTATTGACTGGAGTTGGTATGAGCTCTAAGAAAACAAAGCAATGTAGATGTATATGGATTTAATTAAATATCGAACATATGAATTGTTGGTACTTATAACATTATTCCTTAATGGAACCAAATAAATGCTATCAGAATTTTAGCTCGATTATTTTCTCTAACCAAAATGTGCACATACGCACACATGCATGCATGCACAGTCATTCTCTCCAATCCTGTATGCACTTACTTGTATGGTAAACATTTTTTATTATTTTTAACAGCATCAATAGCTTTTCTTACTTGTTAATGAATGGCTATTTTTGGTAGGAATTTCTCTTTTACTCTTCTACTTGATCATTTTTGAATGTTAGTGTCTTTTACAACTTAATCTTAAAATTAAGACAAATAGACCTGTCTATCACAAAACTTTTGCCAGTTCAACACTTTACAATGGTGCAGCTTATTGACAGCAATAACATTGATCGGCTGTGCAACCCTACTCTTTTTAAATTTTAAGTTTTATTGACATAATTCACATGACATTATTTAATGATTGGTTTAAATATACTAAAAAGAGTTGTACAGTCTCTTCTACTTGATCATTTTTAAAGGTTAAAGTCTTTTACAGCTTAAGTCTTATGTTCTTAAAATCAAGCCAACTAGACTTATCCATCATACAGCATTTGCCAGTTCAACACTTTGCAATGGTGCAGCTTATTGACAGTAATAACATTGATCGACTGTGCAACCCTACTATTTTTTATTGACATAATGCACATATCATACTATTTAATGGTTGTTTTAAATATACTAAAAAAGAATTGTGCAAATATCATTACAATAAATTTTATAACATTTTTTTCTTGTATTCATTATTAGCTCCCAATTCTCCTCAACTCCCCTTCCATAACCTCGTAAAACCATTAATCCCATTACTGTCTGTAAAGATTTACCTATCCTGGATTTCATAAAAAGTAAAACATTAACCCTCCCCTGAAAAAAAAGAAACAAACAATAATAAAAGAGAAAAGCTTCAATTAAAAAGAAAGTAAGAAAATAGATAAAACTAGACCAAATTTAAAATGGGTCAACAGGAAGTACATATGATAAGGTGTTAAATTTTAATCTAACTCTATCTGCATTAGTCTACTTTCCAGTGCACTCTTGTCTGATAGTAACACCATTCACATTCCTGGTCAGTGGTCAGAGGGGAATCACCAGAGGCTTAATCCATATGGTCACCATGCAGATGGATTTTGAGCTTTTTCTGTCATCCAGAGCCATCTATAAACTGGCTGCTCAGAATTTAAGCTTTAATACCATTCCCTCCTCTGGTCTTGGATTTCATTATCTACAATCATTGGATCACACAAGCTGATGTGCTTCTTTTGTGTGGATTTAGATGTCACCTCACTTAAAGGATAGCTTGTTTTAAGACAAGCCTTAAAGAAGCCAGATACTATTCTTTCTGATTGCTGGGCACTCTGATTCATTTGCCACCCTTTGTTATAAGTGCAACCCCTTATATGCACTCCTCATAGACTCATAGTCAATGTGGGTAACTTCATAAACAATAATTTCCCTTTTCCTTTAAGACACTTTGATCCCCATAAATTTGACTATTCTTAGCTTTTGTTATAAGTGAGTCATATAATATTAATCCATTTGTGATTAACTGGCCTAATGTCTTCAAGCTCCATTTATGTTGTAGTGTATATCAGGACTTAATATATTTTTCTGACTGAATAATATATTTTTCTGACAGAATTCCATTGTGTCTATAAACTTGTTTGTTTTTCTGTGAATCCATTGTTGGGTATTTAGGTTATTTCTACCTTTTGGCTATTGCAATTAATGCTGCATTGAACATGATTTATATACAAGGGGATAACCCACCAAAACCTGGAGGTGCACTGGGTGGAGCAGAGCTTTCTTAGTATGCATTTTTCCTGCTAAGCAAGTGAATCACTCCCTCTGAGTTAGTGCACCCAGTAGCTTTGCCTGGGAAAAGGTTCTCTCTGGTCACTGTGTATTTTTCCATAGAAGCAATTTTTCTCAAACCTAGGTTTTTTGTGATGGCTGATGTAAGAGAATAGCGTGTGGCTGTGAAATTTTGTTTCTTGCTTTGGAAAAATGCTGCAGAAACTTGTGATGTTGAACACAGCTTACAAGGACAGTGCTATGGAAAAAACTCAAGTGTACAAGTGGTTTCTTATTTCAAAAAATGTGAAATATTGATTGATGATAAACCTATTCTGGATGTCCATCAACTTCCAGAATGGATTTAGAGGTTGTTCCACCAGGTTAGACTGTTAATCAAGCTTTCTATTTAGAAGTTCTGAAAAGATTACATAATGGACAATATACAATTAAAAAAGGCCTGATTTGTGGCAGACAAGGGACTGGTTTTGCCACCACGAAAATGCACCTGATCACACAGCCATTTCACAGTGCTAGTTTTTGGCAAAAGCAGCATGCCTCTCTTGCCCAGTGCTCTTACTCACCTGACCTCGCTGTGTGCAACTGCTTTTTGTTTCTGCAAATGAAGGACAACGTGAAAGGACAGTGATTTGATGACATAGAAGTGAAGAAAAAGACCAAGGGAGGTGCTGTCAGCCATCCAAACAGATGAGTTTGAAAAATGTGTCCAAGAGTGGCATTGTAGATTTAACAAATGTATTAAGTGTAATGGAGAGTACTTTGAAGGTGATACGGTTGCTTTGTTAAAAAAAAAAAAGTTTACATAGCTTTTGGAAGTGGGGACGGGTAAGTTCAGGTTTTTTTGTTTTTTGGTACCCTGTGATATGTCCTTTTGCATTACTTCTTTCAAGTCCCTTGGTAATATATTTCTGGCTGTATAATTTCTGTGTTAAATGGTAGATTTTGGAGCCCTACTGGCTTAGTGGTTAAGTGCTCAGCTGCTACCAAAAGTGTGGTGGTCTTAAAACACAGAGATGTGGAGATCTGATTCTGTAAACACTCCAGCCTTGGAAACCTCCAGGGGCAGTTTTACTCTGTCGTGAGGAGTTGCTGGGAGTCAGCAGTGACTTGATAGCAATGGGTATGGGAGTTCTTTTTTCAGTTTCTACAATGACTGTTCCATTTTGTATTCCCATGACATTGGACAAGGGTTCTAATTTTCCTACATCCTTGCTAACATTTTAAAATTGCTGTATTTTTTTTAACCCAGCCATCTTGAAACTGCTTATAGACAACTAAAAACTTCATGGGATTTGACATTTTAGTTTGAAGATACAGTGTCTTGTTGGTTGCATGGGACATGCTGGTTAATTGACCTAATGTGTTTAGTGCTTCTTTTGTCTGAGCTCCTTGCAGTGTCTGGGTTTAATACAGCCATCTGAGGAACAACAATTGGTCTATATTTGGCTTGAGCAATACAGAAAGGAAAGTCAAAAATAGAAGGAGGAAATGGATTCTGTGGCTAATTGCCGCCATAAGTAACTGCCTCCTCCTGTATGAGACTAGAAGGACTGGATGGTGCCCAGCTACCATTACTGAACGTTTTGATCAAAGATTCGATAAGATGAGGATGATAATACCTATTGAAAGCTATGAATGTGAAGATCAACTAGGCAATCATGCAAATCAAGTATATCACAAGAATTGTTTTTAAGAACTAGCTAATAATGAAATTGGACTGTGCATTGTTAAAATGGAAGATCAAACTTTTCCAGTTTATTTACATGCATGTGAGACACTAAAAATAATTCATGGATAAAGGAAAAAGATCATAGCATTTTCCATGAACGTTTTGAAGCCCTGACATGTGAAATGCACACTTCTTCATGGTGAGGCTAAAATGATGACAATATCTTGGAGTTGGTTCCGCTAGTCCGTCTTCCTACTTTTACAGATGAGGAGCCGGGCCTCAGGCTTTGCTTGTTCCAGGTCACATGGTAGAGGGGTAGTCAGGTCAAGACTGACATTTAAAATTTGATCTTTACATCTTTTAAAGATCGCTTTTTTTCCCATTTGTCATAGATTTAGCTGTCCACACATTTATTCAACCTTCACTGTATACATGAAACTATTTTTGTGTATATAGTGAGGAACTAGAAAGACTGCATTATATGGATTTATATAAAAAACTTGACTTCTGCATTTCTGAAACATAGAGTTAATTCCTTCTTGCCTTAGTAAAGTTGTTTTTCTGCTGTAACTCAATATTTTGCTAAAGCTGAAAATTTGAATTATGGGTGTGGTTTTAGGATGAATAGAATATTTGTATTCTGCCTCAGCTAAAGAGGAGAATTTGCTAAAGAAAATTGGGTTCTAATGAAAGACATTTTCATGAGAGTACCATGGTACATGAATATGCTACTATTTTATATAGTAATTGCCCTGACGTCAGAAAAAAATAGTAAAAGTAGTTAGGGTACATTTCGAGATGTTGAACTTTAAAGATTAAACATTTTCTTTCTTTCTTTTTTTACCTTAGGGCACAGTCAGTGGTGTGCTGCTAGTTACACCAAATAATATAATGTTTGATCCCCATAAAACTGACCCATTGGTTCAAGAAAATGGCTGTGAGGAATATGGCATCATGTGTCCAATGGAAGAAGTGATGTCAGCTGGAATGTACAAAGAAATTTTGGATAGCAAAATAAAGGAATCCTTACCTATGTAAGAGTGATATTTATGCTCCATTGGAATATCATGGCATCGAAATAACTGACCGTGGTTTTACTACTCTTAAATAGTTGCTAACAGTTTGGTTGTAGTTGCTGTACATTCGATCAGTTCTGAAGCAAATTTATCGAGTTTTGAAAAGATGATTTTTCTTTCACTTAGAATATTTAAGAATTGCATTAAATTTTATATTCATATTTATATGGAGTCTATAGAGATCATTTAATGCAATGTTAAGTAGCGCTTTTATTGAAACACCCCATCCCAAATTCTCAATTCTTCCTGAATAATCAGTATCAATGGCAGCTTTTAAATTTTCCTTGGAAGTGCTGAGTATGAGATTTAGGCGAGACTGCATGAGGAAAGAGTAGACATTGCTATATCCAGAGAAGCTTGATTTTATTAATTGATTTCTGTACTTGCAACCCTCTCCCCTAAAGTAAAAGCTGTAGTAGAAAATAACAGAAGTTATGTGAATGTAAGGAATCTCCTTTGGAATATTCTGATTCAGAAATTTGTGTGATGCTGGTAGAGATGTGAGACTGTATGTTAGAACCACCTAGAAAGTAATATGACTACCAAAGTGATTGCCAGAGATCAAAGAGAGAAAGGAAAATAAAGGAGGAAAAGTTTTAAAATGTACACAAACACACACACACACACACACACACACACACTACAAGATTGGCTGCAGAAGTAGAAAGTAAAGAAATCGATGTATAATAGAAATGGATGTCCCAGCCCTGTAGATGTAACTTTGTTAGTAGTTTAAAAAATGGACTTATATTAATTGATTTTGTTGTATTCTTATATTAACCCACTAGGATAATGATGGTATTTGTTTTTGCACTAACTCTTTAATGCAAGCTAGAACCACTTAAGAAGGAAAAGAGTAAATTATCTTTTTTTTTTTTCGGGGAAAATTATGTGAGTTGTTAGCATACCTATAGTAGCAAATCCTGTATTCAGAAAGTCTGCATTAGACATTTACACCCAAAAGAGATGATTTGGAGTTGGTAAATTTATCGTTAAAGGTGTAAATAATTTCTTTCTACTCTGACCTATTTTCATAGATCATCACAAATCAAATTCTTCATTAAATTGGGATTATTGGGAATGGGTATAGTAATGAAAATTAGATAGAGGATATTTACAATGTATTCAAGGGAAAGTAACAAAAAATGTATTGCTACTGGGGTTCCAGTTCATACTTACATAACTTATCTAAACAAAGGTATTTAAACATTTCTCTGTAATTGGGATAGCTGTAGACAAGTTCTCTCAGTAATACATTTTTTTTAGTCTTGTGACAGTGATTTCAATAAAAGGATACAGCCAATACAGTGGCTTCCTAAAAGGGTCTTCTGAGATAGTTAAATTCAAGGTAGATAGGTCAGTTCAGAGATTATTACAACTGGTTTTGTTTGTCTTTTTATTTAACTCCAATGAAGTAATCTTAATAGATTTTCTCAAAGAAATTCGGATGATCATGATGCTTATGAGGAAGCATTTTTAAGAAAATGGAAAACTGCATTGGTGAGAAAAAAGTCCAGAAAATTTGAGCTTAAAATTTTGTTTTGTCATCAAGATGCTCATTCTTGAAGGGTATCAAGAGCTGCCCTATGAGAATTTTATTGAGAAACTTACTTGACCCTACTATAGCTCTTATTTTCTACCTTCTTTTTGTTCCCCAAACTCAGCTCCACCATCATTGAGTCAATTCTGACTCCTAGCAACCCTGTATAGGATTTTTGAGCTATAAATCTATGTAACTGGCAGCCTTCTCTATCCTCTAGAGTGGTGTGTGGGTTTGAACCACCATCCTTAAAGTCAGCAGTCCAATACTCACTTGAAGACTATGAGTCCCTTGAGGATACCAAGTGGCCATTTTGACGTGATGTAAACCAAAGAGCTCAGACTTCTTTGCTGGAAGGTTAGAGATTTGGAAACAGTGACTTCAGAAGTGTCTGAACCATAGATTTCCAAACTTATTAAACCTACTGAGCCTTTTTTTTTTTTTTTCAAAAAAAATTACTTTATACCCCACTGTTAATGAAAAACTTTTATGCTCTGGTCTCTACCCCAGGTAAGGTATAGTTTTCTGCTTTCCAGCCCCCTGGATAATCCTAGGCTCTCCCAGGGGGTATTATTTCCCACTTTAGGAAACATTGGTATGGACTTAGATGAGGGTGATATTGAGAAACAGCCGCTTTACATTTTGATTGATTTGTCTAATAAATGTTCCGATGATTTTTAGCGGTACTTTTTTACTCAACCTGCATATTCTGTTATTGATGAGGCTCACTCTGTTATCCTGATTTTCCATTTATATTATTATACTTTGAGATTCTCTTAATCTGAGACATGTAAAACTGTACTGCCTGGATATTGTAAAACTCCTCTTGCAAATAACTTACATTCTGTGTCAATTGGATAAACTACCACATGTTTTTAAAAATCCCTCCATCCTGTCTTAAGAAAAATTCTTCTCAGTAAATCAGATAATTAAACAAGTAATTTTTGTGGTATAGTGCCATATGTGGTAAAAATGAATCAGGAGATTTTACTGATTTTCTTTCTTACTGCTTGAGAAGTCCTTGTTCTCTGCTCAACAGTAGTGACAACATCATTGCTATGAATTAGTTTTTAGCCCGTCACACTGAAGGAGAAACACTTACCTAAAAAATTAATGTCCTTTTATTTTTGTAAACTTAGTGTCATATTTTAAGGTCTTAAAAAGAAAATCTGGTTGATAATACTTTAACACTTTCCCTAGCCTAAGATCCCATTTTGCAGTTTGAGTGAATGACCAGTAGAGGGAACTATTGCATATTTAATAGTATAAAACAAATGTTTGTGTTTCTTAAAATGAAATCAGATTAAAATGAACCAGAGATAAGAATTAGACTTAAACTAATTAATATTTTAAAAATGTATTGTAACATAGAAATTATATAACAGGACATTTGAAAAATGTCAAAGTAAGCAGTACAAAGTAAACTTCCATAGTCAGGCAATTATTTTTGGTTTTTCTTACTTTTCACTCTTTTTCCAAGCATATTTTTACATGATTCACATTTTTCAAATATATAATTATTGATGATTTCTTTCCTCACTGAGATCTCATAGAATTTGTTTCTAGCAAACTGTTTTTAGCCATCATTTTAAATAGTTGACATATTTCATGGTATCGATGTTTGCATTACTTCTGTCTGGAACTATCCTTTGACTGTTAATATTTAAATGTAAAGTACTATTAAACATGTAAATAACCCATTAATCAATAGCTTCACTCAAATTTTGTTTCACAGAAATCCTGTGCTGGCAAATTACTTACCAGGAAACCTCACATGGTTGTTTGCCAGATCTCAAATGCACACTATTAGATCTATGTGACTCAGGTTGTTGTTACAATGCTAAGCAATGGGTGCTACATTCTTTCAGAATGTGAATTTAATTTGTGTAAGGCAAAATACTATAATTTTAAAATCTAATAACTTTTATTTTTGCCTATTGACAGAGAGATAGAACAGTCATCAACAAGAGACATTAGCCATTTAAAGAAAGTGACAAGAAGCAATCTTGATGAAACAGACTCAAGAGTCCGTGACGCAGGAAATGATAGTGCCAGCACTGCTCCCAGAAGCACTGAGGAGTCTTTTTCTGAAGATGTGTTCACAGAATCAGAACTCTCTCCCATACGAGAGGGAGAAGAGCTTATTTCTTCAGATGATCCACAGCAAGATAAATCTTCTGGTGTGTTATCAGAATCTGTGCAAGCTGTCAATCAGATTGGAACAGAATGTGTCTCAGGCATATCAGATTCTACTAGTATCCCTGGTCACTTAAAACCCAACACTGAACATTCTGCAAATGAAATTGGGACTCTCTCTCATAAACCTGATTTAAATAAAGCTGAAATGGCTGTAAAGGAAGGAGATAAGGTTACAGATAATTTTAAAGAATTATCAGATCCTAAAGAACAAAGCACAAGTGTAAAAGGTAATGGAGACCAGGATGATGTTCTCATTGAGGATTTGCTACACCAGGGAGAGGGTGAAAGAGAAAATGTGCCTTGTAGTGAAGTCACAGAATTAAAACAGAAACAGACTGTCAACAAAGGAAAGCCAGTAAAGGAGCAAAATCGGGACTCAGAGACAGAGGTAGAAGAACTTCGCAAACTCTGGAAAAGCCATACTATGCAACAAACTAAGCAACAGAGGGAAAATATTCAACAGGTGTCGCAAAAAGAAACTAAGCATAAAATAGCAGCTGCTGATGGACACGTAGAAGGTAAGTGTTATGAAATATGTAAAGCTACAGCTAGCTCATCTCGTTACTATACATTATCTCCTTTCTCACTAACTCCAAAGCTGATGTATGTTTGGCCATTCTGTAATCAAGTGGCCCTTGGCTAGGGTGCCCATAGACACTCACTGGTATTTAGTCTCTGGGTACTACCCTGCTCCTTTACTAAGCATGATGTCCTTCTCAGGTCATTATGACTGCTCTCTCCTTGACATGTCCAAAGTATGTGACACATACAGTCTCACCATCCTGGCTTCTAAGGAGAAGTCTTGCTGCTCTTCCAAGGCAATATCAACAATTAGCTTTCATAAATTTGACTCCCAGCATTTTTCCAATGGCAGTAAGAATTAAAACCACTAGATTTTAATTGTCAAACTCTTAATGATCTTTTCAAGTTTCTGCTCATTAATACCTTCTCTAAAACTTTTTTGAGAGTTGTTTTATTCATTGCATCTTACATATATTTAAAGTTTTTTATATTTCTTTCTTTCTAGACCAACAATGAAAACCTTATCTTTTTACCTATAATAGTCTAGCAGAAGATCTGGACCTAATATTGTTGAGCAAAATGTTTTATTTACTCATACACTTGATTTTTCTTCTTTTTGCTACTGTTTCTCAACTGCGCTGCTTTGTTTTTCTAGTTCTGTACCTGTGAAGATCTTTATACCCTCTAAATAATCCCATGCCCTGGAATTTACTTTTTTTTCCTTCTCTGGATTCTTTTCTCTCACTATTTCTCCCCTATTTTACTCCATTTCAGCTACATGGATAGTTCTTGAAATGCAGATGTGTCCCTCTTTGTAAAATGTTTGTACCTGAGACAAATACTGGCTCACTACCACTCTGCTTTCATGTCCTTCTTAATTTTAACTTCCCAATGAGGCGTAGTCTGAATAACTTTGGGAGTTAATACATATGTCATTCCATAGTTCAATCACATCAAGCAGTAATGTAAAATTGCTACAACAATCAGTTTCCAAACATTCTTTTTTCTGAACTCCTTGACTTTGTCTCACTTTTACCTACCCCCCCCCACTGGACCCTGGGCCCCCCACAAACCCTTATTTTACTTGCTGTTCCTATAGGTTCATCAGTCCTGAGTTGCATATACTGAAAAACAGAGCACTATATAACACAACTTCGTGTGACCTCTAATGACATAACACCTTTGAGATATACGCTAATATGAAAGAGCAAAAACAAAATAAAAATACAGAAAATGTTGAAAACCAGATCAGGTTCAGCATGTATCAGAGGGGGAATCGACTGACCAAGTCTGAACTGTTCAAGTCCGATTTAAGTCTTTGATCTTCTCATCTCAAATCTCCAATGCTCTCTGTTTAGTAACCCCTTATGCCCCAATCCCTCAATTGTGGGTACAGAGAGTTCACTGGAAGCTTCTTTCCTATGAAGTCCCCACAAATGAATCTTGAGCTCCCACTGTCATCCAGATCCTTCTGCAAACCAGAAATGCTGTCAGTTCCCCATTTCTCCCCTTGCTCCCCCTTTCTGTTCCCAAAGCCTCAGGGACCCATTACTCCTGTAACTATTTCTGAAGGGTTATCTAAGTTAACTTTCATGTACTGCACGGTCTTAAATATACAAATGAACATACACAAATCAGACATGATTAATGAAGTAAAACAAAAAATAACCATAGGAGTAAGAGGAGGAAATATTTAGGAACTAGAAGATAGTTATGCAGTTAGTTCATCAGTGTCATTCTGTACGCTGAATTTATCATCCATTCCATGTGGTCCTTCTGAGAGGGTTTCCCCAATTATCTGACAGGTGGGTTTTGAGTCTCCACTGCTTCCACACCTCTTCACAATAGTTTGGTTGTGTTTTTGAACTTCTGATACCTCTTCCCACGGATACCTCATGATCGCACAATGAAGCTCTTTGTTTAAGAGTACAGTTGTGCCCAATTCCAATTCTGAAAATAATTTTGATACTTCTTAAACTTCTGGGTTATATAGCATGAAATGAAGAAAATATAAAACTAGAAGTCATATGAGACTGAAATTTTCTCTTGATTGTAGAGCAGTGAAAAAATGATGAAAATACCTAAGCAGACAATTTCAAAGGACAACTTGAGAAGACAAAATAAAGCATCATAATGAAGTATGCATAGTCCTAGATCAAGAAAGCCAAGAAGAAAAACACTAATCATTTCTTAAGCTGAAAGAACTGAAGCAAAAATTCAAACCTCACGTTGCAATATTGAAGGACTTTATGGGCAGCATGATGAATATGTTGGAAGCATCAAAAGAGTGGAAGGAATACAGTCACTACCAAAAATCAGCTGGTTGACATTCAAAATTTCAAGAGATAGCATATGATCATGATTTGAAGGAAGAAATCCAGGCTTCATTAACAGCATTAGTGGAAAACAAGACTCCAGGAATTGATGGAAAACCAATTGAAATGTTTCAACAAGCTGAAGCACTGCATGTACTCACTTGACTATGCCAAGAAATTGGAAGGCAGCTGCCTGGCCAGCTTACTGGAACTTACATGTTTGTGTCCATTCCAAAAAAGGGTGACACACAGAATGTGGAAATTATTGAACAATATCATTAACATTACATGTTTTACTGAAGCTCATTCAAAAGTGGTTGTAGGAGTACATCTACAGGGAACTGCCAGAAGTTAAACCCAGATTCAGAAGAGGACTTGGAACAAGGATGTCATTGCTGACATTAGAAGGATCTTGACTGAAAGCAGAAAATAGTAGAAATGCGCTTGTATTTTATTGACTATGCAGTGGCATTTCATTGTGTGGTTCATAACAAACTTTGCATAACATTGAGAAGAATGAGAACTCCAGACCACTTCATTGTACTCATGCTTAGTCTGTACCTGGACCAAGAGGCAGTCATTCAAAGAGAATAAGGGGATACTGCATGATTTAAAACGGGGAAAAATGTTCATCAGAGCTGTATCCCTTTTATCATAATCTGTTTGCTGAGCAGATAATTCAAGAAACTGGACTGGATGAGTAAGAATATAACAGAGTTGATGGAAGGCTTATTTACCTGCAATATGCAGATGAAACAACCTTACCTGCTAAAAGCAAGGAGGACATTACGCACTTACTAATGCAGAACAAGGACTGCAGGCTTCAGTAGGAATACAACTGAATATAAAGAAAAGCAGAATTCTTACAACTGAACCAGTAAATAGCATTCCTGATAGATGAATAAATACTGACGTTGTAAAGGATTTTATCTTGGCTTGGATCTGTGGTCAGTGCTCACAGGAATGTCAGCTGAGTCATCTAGTGACGTATTGTATTTGATAAATCTGCACAAGACCTCTGTAAAGAGCAAGGGTGTTACTTTGAGGATCAAGGTGTGGCAGTTTTCAATCATCTCGTGAATATAAGAGTTGTACATTGAAAAAGAAAGTCATGGGAAGAATTGATGCATTTGAATTATTGTGCTGCTGAAGAATATTAAAAATAAAGTGGGTTGCCAGAAGAACAGATTTTTTTTTTTAATAAGTACAGCCAGAGAATGGTTCCTGGAAGTAAAAATGGTGAGACTTTATCTCATGTATGTTGCACATATTATCAAGAGAAACCAGTCCTTGGAAAAGTACATCACGTTAGTGAAGTGCGGACACTGAAGTTAGCACACTAAAATAGAGGAAGACCTTCAGAGATGGATCGCCACAGTGTGTGCAACAGTGGACTCAAACATAACAATTGTGAGGATGCCACAGGGCCAGGCAGTGCTTCATTCTGCTGCACAGCGCTGTTCAGAGTGGAACCTTCTTGCTACCCCGAAGGAAACATCACTACCTTCTAGTAATTTATTATGTGTACTTATTCACATTTATCTTTTGTCATTTTCCCCAATCTATGTGCACCAAAGAGAAGCATTGTTATCTCTTTCATACATCGATATGCAAGGTGACTTCAAAAGGTTCATGAAAAAATGGAACAAAAAGATAATGGGATTTTTCTAAGAACTTTTTGAATCCCCCTGGAATTGCCTGTGGTTAGAAAGAAGCACGGTTGATTGTAAATATTCAGTAGGTGCATGATGAAATAGTGAATCACTAATATATGACTCAAGAAAATCCAGATCTGCATTAACGAAAATTAAATAAAATGCAAAGTCAAACTCCAGCTTGTGACAATGCTGTGTGTTTTGTAATATTTTCACTGGTTGATTTTTGGGGAAGTACCATCTCCAAATCATTCCTTCTAACCTTTCAGCTTGCAGCCCTGGTTGGACTTGAACTGCCAACCTTTCAGTTAGCAGCCAAGTATTTTTAACAGTTTAAACTACCCAGGGAATCTGGTGTCAGGGTGGACTTTACTATGTATAGTGGCTCAAATGAGACACAAACTAACAATAAGTGGGTGGATTGTCATATTCTAACAGTGCACTCTTACAAAGAAGCAAAGCCATGAGTAGTCATACCATCCACAGTTTGCTGTCATCACGTGTTATTGGGTGCCCAGATTCTTGAATTCAACCATAGTATCAAATTCTCTATACTTTATGTCAGCGTCTAGGGTTGGAAGAGTTAGAATTCAAACTTAATAGATTTTCCAAATCCAATGTAGTACTGGCATTTTTAAAATCACATCTTATGTATAAATGGATCACACAGGGCCAGGCAAATTTTGATTCTGTCATTCACAAGGTCATATGGAGTAGTAGAGTAGTTATGGAGTAGTAGAACTATGTAAAAAAATTCTGCATATTCTCATCTTTTTAAAATGACATAAATAAAAAAGTTTGTAGAAAATGCAAAGGTTTATTCTAATACAGATATTAAAAATTTGTAGTCCTATACATTTTACCCTAATTATATTCTAGATATAATTTTAATATAGCAAGTTGATTCTTTTATTAAGCATCGTCTTATACCTGAAACTTTACCTTCGACAGAAAAAAAGCATGTTAAGAGAAAATAGAGGTGTGCTCTGTAATTATTTGTCAGCAATTTACAGATGAAACATCTGATATAAATTATTTAGGCATGTTTTACAAGATTTAAATATTGTCTGCTTCTCAGTTCTAGGTTCTACACTGTTAAAAGAAAAACGAAGACATCGATTACATAAATTCTTATGCCTGCGAGTTGGAAAACCAATGAGGAAAACATTTGTGTCTCAAGCAAGTGCAACAATGCAACAATATGCCCAGAGAGACAAGAAACATGAGTATTGGTTTGCTGTGCCACAAGAAAGGTAAACAAAAGCAAGCAAAAAATAAGTATTCTTGAGGTGTCTCAAATTAGTTATTCGTATACCAGTTTCCACCAGTAGGTGAGTACTTATTGAAATATGCAGCTTACGATTAAAACCTCAGATCTATTAAAAAATTAGTTAGCTTCTCTTTTAACTTTTCCCAGTCTTAGTTTTATTCCCTTTTTGGTTTGAGGCAAATAGCGTGATCATGTTCCAGTTTTAGTAGTAAAGATACTTAGTTAAAAGGTCTCAGAGCAAGCAAGTCCATCAAGATATTATAAAGATTTGTAATCCATTATTGTTTTTTTCTCCAAATACTTACTGAATGCCTGTTGTATGCATGGCACTAAATTAGTTTCTGCAATAGTGAAGTCTTCAAACAATTTTTGTGTACCACTTGAAAATTAAAAATAAAAAAATTATAAACTTCAGCAGGTATAATTTAGCATGCCATTTTCACTGTTGTGAATAATGAAATTTTAAGTTAAAATAGTTATAATATTTTTAAATTGTTATAATATTTATATACAAGTAAATATAAACATTACTACAAGATATCCTTAAGATCTTGACCACACTATGTGAAAGAACATAATTATGAGTAAAGAATAGCATGTGGATATTGACGATAAACCAAACCACTGCCATTGAGTCAATGCTGACTCACTTTGACCCTAGAGCAATGGTTCTCCACCTTCCTCATGCTGCAACCCTTTCATACAGTTCCTCATGTTGTGGTGACCCCCAAACCATAAAATTATTTTCATTGCTAATTCATCACTGTCATTTTGCTACTGTTAGGAATCGGGTGACCTCTGTGAAAGGGTCGTTCCACCCCCAAAGGGGTTGTGACCCACAGGTTGAGAACCGCTGCCCTAGAAGACAAAGTAGAACTGTAAGGTTTCTGAGACTGTAAATCTTTGCAGAAGTAGACAGCTTCACCTTTTACTCATGGAACAGTTGCTGAAGTTGGAACAGTTAGCAGCCCAACATATACTCAGTTGTGCCACCAGGGTACCTAAGTTAAAGATAAGCAATTTAATTCCCTCAGAAAGTTGACATGTCACTTTGAAGACATATAATGATAAAAGTCCTTTCCACAGTCCAGAGAAAACATACAGTACAATGTGTGCATTCAATAAAATGTGATTAATTACAAATTGTAGTCTTACTTGCATAATGTACAAATACCTGAAAGGAACAAATCGGATGAATAACAGTTTTAGCAGACCTTACACATGATGCTTTTAGAGGACCAGCTGTGCAGGACAGAGACCACTGGCAGTGTATCGGGCTGCTGACTGCCAGGCACTCCTCAGAGAAAGATACGGCTTTGTACTCTAGTGAAGAGTTAGCCACAGCGGCAGTTCTACCCTGTCTTATAGGGTCATTGGGAGTTTAAATCGATTCCATGGTAATGAATTGGGGTGGGGTTTCTTTCTTTCTTTTTATTTTTCTCCAGTTTTGAGATTATAGGGTTGCCTGGAATCAACTGTGACAGTGAGTTCGATTTGGGTTTGAAAACTAAATGGAAATAAAGTGACAACAGCAATTCAAAAGATTGCGTTATATGCCAATAAAACCTTTAAAAAAAAGATTGAATAAAAACTTAGGGAGCCAGCGAGTTTATGTTAATGGGGGAGCAACAATTCAGAAAAGGATGATTGCACAACTTTAATGTAATCAATGTCTCTGAATTGCACTTGTAGAAATGGTAATTTATTTACTTTTTGCTGTGTATATTCTCAACAACAAAATTTAAAGTTTGTAAGCTTTCTCGGGATATTTACGAACATGATTTTATAAATTCTAGAATTTATAAATGCTAGAAGTATGGAATACTAGGGCTGTTATTAATGGTTACTTGCTTTTAACAGGACAGAACACTTGTACGCCTTCTTCATTCAGTGGAGTCCAGAAATATATGCAGAAGAGACTGGTGAATATACTAGAGAACCTGGATTTATAGTAGTAAAAAAAGTAGAAGAGTCTGAGACAAGTGAGGATTCTACTAATGAAGCAGCAGGCAGAGAATGGGAGGTATGGAGAAAAGTATTAAGAGGTTTTTCACCTTTTTACTTTGTAGGAATTTAACGCTTTAGGTTAATACAGTGAAGTACAAATGATCTTTCCCCAAAAGTATAATTTCTGTAAAAGTTCAGGTTCACTGTTGTAGGACTATATGTCTCTTCATTGAATGGATTTTCATATGAAATTTGGTGTTAACACTATTTGTCATTCTGCTTTTGCTTTAAAATACTGGAAAAGAAGCATACTAGTCATAAAAAAGACATATTAAGGCTATTTAGTTTAGGGAAAAGTTGCATTTCCTAGCAGAAGAAAATAGTTTGAATCACTTTGGTGTTAATTTTCAAAACATGTTTATTTCCTGCTTGATTTTAAAGAAAATTACAGATGTATCTGTTCTGCATGGAGGAGCCATACCAATCATTTAACATACCAATGCAAATTAACACTCCTTTTCTGAGTTCAAGGCCTGATCATTATCTTACTGTGATTTTGGCAACAATAATATTAGAAAAGTGATCTAATGCCAGTTTTATAAACTAGTACAATTGTGTGCTCAAACTTGCTGAACTTGTTTAAGTGTCTAAATTATCTTTTTAAATCCCTGTTAGATTTATCTTTTAAGGTTACACATAAATTTTACATGCTTTGTCTCTTACAGAGTTGGTAGAATGATAATATCTGTTTCTGGTAGTAGTTGTTGCCTGGAATAATCTCTTCATAATGCACTGAAAATATAGAGCAGATGCTAAAATGTGATAGTCCACTGTGAATAAGTTTTTAATAACCATTTGGTATTAATCCCTGTGGATGTTTATATGATATGAATGTGTTATGCATGTATTTAACATGTATAATGATTGAAAGCATATAGTGCATGTCTTTTGTTTAAAATGTGAGCCTGGTTTTCAGTGTGTCTTCATGTCATTCTGTCTTTGTATATATGCCTTTGCTTTCTGCTGGAGCTCCAATGGAAACAGAAAAGGGAGGGAAGTAACATTTATTGAGAACCTATTGAGTTCAGGCATTTTTAATGTTTATCCAACCTTATTACTTTTCTTACCAGTTTTATTTACAATAGCTGAAAACTGGAAGCAAGTCGAATGCCCATCAGTGGAAGAATGGGTGAATAAATGGTGTATTTCTATAATCAGCTACCAATAATTATATGCTGATATTGGCAACAATATGGACAAACCTCACAGATTGTACATTTGATTAAAAAAGGGCAGGCACAAGAGGATACACTAAAATTTCTTTTACTTAAAGTTCAAACCAGCAAAGTTAATTGAAAGTCGGTCAGATTCTTGCTTTCTGAGAGCTGATGGGTGTCAAATAGTGGGAGGTAACTATAGAGTCCTGGAGATACTCTAGATCTTAATCTGGGTGATAAACAAGGTGATTGCATAAAAACTTCGGAGCTCTCATTTAAAATTAATAATGTAATAAGTTTCATCATTTATTAATTATATTTATTAGTTCAAGTGATAAAATATGTGTACTAAAGCATATCTTTTACCAGATTTGCCATTCTACTGGTTAGTACTGTGTGCATAGGTATAGTGAATCGCTATAAGTACCTTTTCAAGAGATGTTAGAAAATACAGGTTAAAAATGGATTTGTAACAGGTCATTTGTAATAGATTGGATTGCTTCTTACATAGTTCTGTGTGATCTGAGGATTGAAGAACCCTCATAAGATAGCCAATTAAGAAATGCTCACATAAAAGAAAAAAATTTATAGTATTTTTAGATGGAAATAACAGAATTTTATTACTGAGTAACAAGTTAATTGAAATTATTTGTTTACTTTGGAAGGGGGTTTGAAAAACCATGCTTATTACCTTTTTCGGTTTGGGTGATTAAATTATCCTTATTGTGTTACTTACTGCACTTTATTTGGAAATACATGCTCTGTGTCTTTAAACTTTTGAGCCCTTTCTGTGCACGTTTTTTTTTTTTTTGGTACTGGGCAACCAAACTTAAGCCTGGGAAACCCTCTCTTCCCTCCCCACCTTTGCATTCTCCACTCAGGACAACCTTTGCAATGGATACTAGTTAGTGATTAGCTCTCCGTCTTGTCAATCAAATCTTTTTTCTCTAGCAAACTGTTTTGTCACTGTGATAGTGCTCTTGTGCTGGAAATATCTTTGATAGAGGAAGAATGCTTTTAAAAACAGTTCCTACGTGATTTGATGAAACTCAGTTTGCCCGGTAAAGGAATGTCTCGACTCTGGTATGGGAAAAAAGGGAGAAAACACCAACCAATTAATCATAAATACACTCTGGTAAATCTTAGTTATTTAAATTTCTGTATTTACTGGGCACTTTAATGGTGGCATAATGCAAAATTCTACCATTTTTAAAACTTTTAGAAGAAAATATTTATGGAACATGAAGTTATACAATGATTGGAAACATTTTAAAATTAGGAACTGTAATTTTGTTTCATGAACGTGATTTGATTTTGCTATTCCATGCCAACAGAGAAGTATCAGACCTTCCTTGCTGTTTTAGTATTTTTACTGAAGCCTAACTTTACAGGAAAGCATTTGGAGTAATTACTTCTGAAATGAAAATTATCATGTAATTTTCTTTTTACATGTATATATTATTAATATATATTTTTTATTAATATATTTTAAAGTATTTCGATTTATAGATTTATAGTATGCTTATGGCTATTGATACACTCCAATCATGTATCTTTGCTCCAAAGTAGCATAGTGAATTAACTTTTATTTTTATTGACTAGCTCTCAAATGAGGTACATTTAGAATATTGTGTTTAATATAATTTTAACAATTCCAGAAAAAAGCTTTCCTTTTAAGCTGTTCAAACAAGTTGTCAAGCAATGCTACCTTGATTAAAAATGTAAAAGATATTCCAGTAAATGGAAAATCGCACCTAACTATTTTTAAGAATCCTAGCAAATTATAAGTATGTGTACACTGTTTGGTACAAAATGTACTTCCAACATTTTTGTGGTGATATAGGATTATATTTTGCCTTATGAATATTAGTTTTATTTTTTCTGAAATTTTAGATCATTTAAATAAGGTTGGACATGTACTTAGCATCAGGAATGACTTTGTAAAATGCCCCCAACATAGTTTGCCTCACTTAAGCATATATAAATATCGAAATAATATCAGCTGAGGTTAGCTTTCATTGACCAGGAGGTCAATGAAAAATTGAATAAATCAATGTTTTTGTTACATCACTACAGTAGGATTTAGGTACCTGAAATTATTGAATTATATTTAACTTTAGCAGGTTAGCCAGGTAACATAGATTTGTGTATGTGTGTGTTTAAACCAAGTAACATAATGTTTCTGATTTTCTATTTTATGTTCATCATTTGTATGCTGAGATACTAGCCGCAGTTATTTTATGATAAATAGGGAAATAAATCATGTATATTTTGAGTTTTACAAGTCAATATATTGCATGCACATTATCACACTGAACAATGCTGTTGTTCAGCATCAAAGAAGACTTAAGTGATCTTGTCAG